ACACGAGCGGGCGTACCACCCTTCGAATTACTCGAACCGAATCACAATCCATGACATACACGGGATATTCGCTACGAAATCACAAGAAAACGCAAGCGCTCGAAACTCTGACTGTTCGCGATCGGCGGATTCAGCTGACCGGCAACTCAGCCCCGAAGTTTGGCAGAGGGGCGGTTCGGAGGGGCTGTTACGAGCCGAAGCCACGTAAGGTATATAAATCGACAACTGTTGACTTATAAAATACTTTATTCTGGACAATTATAAGGCGAGGTATATTCGCTACGAGAGACGACACAGAACTAACTGTTCGCTCAAGAGAGATCTTCGTTTAGAGTCTCGCGGGTGGAGCGTTTATATAAAGTAAACAATAGATACAGAAGGTATAAGCATTTATGTTTATTATGATTAGGCTTATTAGGTTACGGACCCAAACATAAGGTCAGCTTAGGAAATGAAGAGGACCTATCGATAACGTGCGGCGTCGTTGCGTCGCGGCACGTAACAGGGCGCGGAGGAATATAGGAAGAGCAAGGGCAATATCGAAAGCACAGAATTTCTGTAACAAATAACAAATATAATTGCGTGTACGGTGGTATACAAGAGTCACCTCAGGCCGCGTAGGACCTAGCGACAACCGTTAGTTTTCTCGTCAGTTACGAGGACTGACCGGTGTACGAGCTTTCTTCGTTAATTCTATCTCGACGTTACTAATTCTATTTCGCGGAATACAACATCCCGGTACGCGGGAGTACGCCACGCACGGCGTAATGGCCGATCACACACCACGTGGTGTCGCGATATTCCGAAATTCCGCCGAAAGCTCAGCACGCTAACAGCGCAACGAACAGTACAACTCTTAACACGAAATGAACACGAAATAACACTTAAATAACGCACAAATGACTTGGCTGTAGCAAGGCGAGCGCAACTACTTTACTTCGCGTAATTCTTATGCCAGGCGGATGGCGCGGCACACCGACTCTACTCGCGGACATACAATCACACTGACAACGGAATTTTAACAACGCAATCCGCCCGACAACGAAACCGGCGGCTGACAATATAATTAGGCGACGTTCGTCTCACCAAGAGCGGCAACTAAGGTCTTGTCTCGAACCCTTGTACGGCACTCGGCAGCTAATGCGGGATCCTGCGTCCTTCCCCAAGCGCGACCACAGCACAAGTGTCGCTCGGTAGTCCTTCCGGTAGTACGCAGGCAGCAGGGTGTCACGGGATCGGCTGATAACGCGCCGATTGGCCCTTGCCCTGCAAGCGCGACGCCCGCAATCGGCGGCGCGAGCTTCAAATTTGGTCCGACTTTTCCGAGTCTCGTGCCCGCGACCTTCTTGACTATTCCACAGCCGGGTGCTTGTCCGCCCTGCGCTCGTACGTTTCGCCGTCGGCAACCGGATCCTCGGCAATCGTGAGAGTCCATCGCTTCAACGTAATGTGCTTTCCTCACGGCTTTCTTCGACGTCGGACGGCGGTTACGTCTGGTCGGCGACTCCCTTGTCTCTCGTTACTGGTCGCTGAAAATAATCGACAGCAGTAAGGGGCTTGCAACAAAGAGCACCCGGGCTAATATCTCTCAGAAAATCGTAGCTGACCTGCGTGCTCCGTTACCACGACGAGCCAATCGTTCCAATGTCGGTATCCTCCTTCTTCTCGCCGATTGATGAAGACGACGAAGTTTTACACGCGCAAATTTGTCTATGTCGCCGATTTCTACCTATCGTTACGCTCGTGATAAAAGAAAGATTAAATAAGATGCGTGAAAATACAACGAAAAAACGCAACGCGTGCGGACGCTCGCCTCCCTAAATCGGGGGGGACGCAGGATCCAAAACCGCGCTCCTTCAATCGGGTATTACGACCCTTGTGACGGACGATCGAAAAACGTCACGTCAAAATCCATATACATTTATATATATATATATGTACAATAAATATAAATCTCTCAAATTCATATAATTTTAGTTATAATTTAAATAAGGTAAATATATACCGATGAAGGGAGGCTGCTCCAATGATCTTGCCCTTTGTATATGTTGTCAAGGGCATAACCCCAAGTAACCTTCAGGTGGTTTTAGCCGTCGCTCGTTATTCGTTAAAAAGTTATTAACAAAAAAAGTA